TTGCTGTCTTTCTCCAGACACCGCAATGCAGGCGGAATGGCCAACAAAGCAGAAAAGGGGTCAAGCTTCAATGGACGGTCCCAGCGGCCATCTTGACTTTTTTGCCCATCTCTGTGCTTGTGGATGTGTGTGTGTGTGTGGGGAGGGTCAAAGCCAACATGGAAGCTCTGCAGGGTTGTCGTTTTTTTTCGTGAGGGCTTCCCCGTCCCCCACCCCAGAATAAAAACACGCCAACTTCAAAGAAAATTTCAAACCTCGTGCTGTGCATTATACCGGGAGCTCCTGGACTTGGACCCTTCGTTTAGTGATTGTTCGAAATCACAACATCACTCAGAAAAGGGACTTGGGACCATTTTCCACACTTAACAACCGTCCCGTCTGGTCACGTGATCAAAATCCAGAGGCTTGGCAACTGGCATGGACTCATGTGAGGACCCCGGGCGTGACACAAAAATAAGCAATCTCCAACCTGGCCCCAATGCCCAATGATCCTCGGCAGGATATCAAACTCTTAAAGAAAACAGTTTATGGAGGGAGTAAATGCTGTCTGCACCCAAAGTAAAGTTAATTCAAAATAAAAAACCCAACACAAACCACACTGAAGGAATTACTACGGGAGGCAAGGATGATGAATTGCAGACTTCAACCAGATAACGCAGCAACCACAGTCGGGAGGAAGCCAAAACACAGATAAGCTCCGACAAGAATAACACACGCTTTGCTTCCAGCAACTTTGCCATGCGCAGTTTGCCCTTTTAAACAGCCCTCACAGCTACAGCCCATGAAGGGGATCAGGGCCCTTTCCTCCACTTGGCCTGTGCCCTCCCCCAGTTTCCTCCACAACCATCGGAGCCACACTCCCACTCCCTCCGCTGTTCCTACTCTTCCTCGGAGTCAGACTCCAACAGAGGCACGGCAACTCATGTCAGCTGCGGTGTCCCGGGGTCACGCGATCCCCTTTTGCACCCAGCAAAGTCCAATGGGGGGAAGCCAGATTCACTTAATGATCATGTGACTAATTTAACAAGTGCAGTGATTCACTTAGCGATGGTGGTAAGGTAGGTCGTAAAATGGGGCAAAGTTCAGTTAACGACTGTCTTGCTCAGCGACAGAAGTGTTGGGCTCCATTGCGGTCGTAAGTCAAGGACTCCCTGGACCTGCCACTATCTCTACTCTCATGTCCTCTGGGTCTGCAGGATGACAACGACCACAATCCTCAGACGGGGTTAGACGGGCACGATGCGCATGGTAGTCCAGAGGTCTGAAAGGGTCTAGGGCTCAGGAAGTCCAACATCCAAGACAAAATACAGGCAGTCCTCCAGTTACAACCCCAATTGGGATCAGAATTTCCATGGCTAAGTGAGGCGGTCGTTAAGTGAGTCGCACTCAATTTTACAATTTTTGTTGTTGTTGTTGAGCGAATCACGAACGGCTTTTCTTGTCCAATGTTTGTCGGTTTGTCAATTCTGGTCACGTGATTGTGCGGATGCTACGACGGTCATAAGTGCAAGGACTTGAGTCACGTCGCTTTTTTTTTCCAGAGCTGTTGAACGGCCGTTAAACGAATCATCATAAGTTGAGGACCACCTTTGTGGCATCCAGCAGACGATCTGGATTTTTTAGCATCCTCATGAAACCGATTCCCTGGGCTCAGTAAGGAGTGAGGCACCCCCCCTTTCCCCCCCACCCCATATGCCCCCCCCTCTTCTGAACTCACCTGGCTGAACTGCGGGTAGGAGGGGTCCCCTGGCTGGGGCCGGTTGACCACAGCGTCCAGGAGAATCTGACCAGTCACTGGTGGGCATAAACGGACGGAGACCAGCTTGGTCAGCTGTTGCTGGACTAAGGGGTCCATATTAACCACTTCCATGTAGCCTCCACGGAAACCACACCTGGCCAGGTACAGATACAGATTAATAGAGGTGCAAGGGGCCTTGCAGGTCATCTAGTCCAACCCCACAACTTCTATCTCTCTATTATGTCTCTCTCTCTCTTTCTCTATAGAGGAAATAGGTACGAATAAATGGGGACAATAGGACAGGGACAGGAGGCACGATGGTGCACTTATGCACGCCCCTTACAGGCCTCTTAGGAATGGGGTGAGGTCAATAGTGGTTAGTTTGAGGTTCAAGGAGTCGGGGTTAGAGGATGTAACCACAGAGTCAGGTAGCGCATTCCAGGCATTGACCGCTCTGTGGCTGAAGTCGTACTTTCTGCAACCGAGTTTGAAGCGGTTTACACTGAGTTTGTATCTGTTGTGTGCTCTTGTTTTGTTGTGGTTGAAGCTGAAGTAGTCATTGACGGGTAGGACATTGTAGCAGGTAATTTTGTGTGCTAGTCTTAAGTCCACAACCGCAGGCGGCGTAGTTCAAGGTTGTCCAAGCCTGGTGTTGTAGGGTATCCTGTTGCGAGCAGAGGAGTGTAGTATTCTTCTCATGAAATACTTCTGGGCTCGCTCAACTGTATTAATGTCTGATATGCAGTGCGGATTCCAAACTGATGAGCTGTATTCGAGTATTGGTCTGGCAAAACTTTTGTATGCCCTAGTTAGCAATTCTATATTTCCAGAGGGAAAGCTTCGTAAGATTAGATTTACAACTCTTAATGCCTTTTTTGGCGATGCTGTTACAGTGAGCTCTGGCACTTAGATCATTTGATATGAGAACTCCAAGGTCCTTGATAGAGTGAGGATCATCAACCAGGTCATCTTCACATGGTCAGTGCCTGGATTGCACTACCTGACTGTTGTCACATCCTCTAACCCCCACTCCTTGACCCTCAAACTAACCACCATTGACTTCACCCCATTCCTAAGAGGTCTGTAAGGGGCGTGCATAAGTGCACCATCGTGCCTCCTGTCCCTGTCCTATTGTCCCCATTTAGTTGTACCTGTTTCCTGTAATTCTTATTCATGTTTATATTTATATCTATTATCTTGTAAGCGATTGACAAATCAAATAAATAAATAAATAAATAATCTATCTATCTATCAATCATCTATCTCTATCTATCTATCTATCTATCTATCTATCTATCTATCTATCTATCTATCTATCTATCTCCATCTAACAGATTAACAGAGTTGGAAGGGACCTTGTAGGTCATCTAGCCCAACCCCTCCACCCAAGGAGGAGACCCTTCCCCATTTCTGACAGGTGGCAAGTCCAGTCTCTTCTTGAAAGCTTCCAGTGATGAAGCTTCCACAACTTCCGACAGCAACTTCTGTTCCATCGGTTGATTGCTCTCACTATCAGTCAATTCCTCCTTACATCTATTGTTCCTTGTCTGGCTTTCGGGGGCTTTGGAAAATAATAGCTTGAGCCCTTCCTCCTCCTCCTCTCTGGGGCAGCCCCTCAAATACTGGAAGGCTGCTCTCCTGCCTCCCCTGGTCCTTCTCTTCCCTAGACCAGCCAGGCCTGGTTCCTGCAATCGTCCATCGCATGATTTAGCCTCCAGTCCCTCTAATCATCTTTGTTGATCTTCTCTGCCCTCTTTCTAGAGCCTCAACGTCTTTTTCATAATGCGGTGACCCAAAAAGATAAGTCCAGAGGAGATGATGGCCTCGGCCAGCAGGAACCAAAGACTTGGCGGCATGTCCTGCACTTCCCTGTCCCGCCAGCAGGGGACGACCAAGTCAAGAAGGAAACCCAAAGGTTCCCGTCCCCAAAGCTTTCTTCCCGTTCGTTTTTTCTTTGAAAAGGTTTTGCTTCTCCTCCAAGAAGCTTCTTCAGTTCTGACATCCCAGAAGTCTAAAGTGGTCAAGGCGGGGTCTCCTGCTTGAGCAGAAGGTTGGACTAGAAGACCTCCAAGGTCCCTTCTAGCTCTATTCTTAATTTCTTCAATTAGAACTGAAGAAGCTTCCTGGATGAGAAGGAAGTATCCAAAGGGGGGAAAAAACCTGAAGGAAGTCCAGTTGCCTTTTGGAAAAAGCCCCTTTGGTTCCCTGGTGACCTGGATGCTGGAGAGTTTCCGCAGACCTCAAGGAGGAAGGAAGGAAAGGGAAGGAAGGAAAGAAAAGGAAGGAAAGAAAAGGAAGGAAAGAAAAGGAAAGAAAGAAAAGGAAGGAAAGGAAGGGAGGGAAGAGGGAGGAAGAGGAAGGAAGGAGAAGGGAGGAAGGAAGGAAAGAAAAGGAAGGAGAAG